CACCCCACCTGCAGGCCTGCTCTTGACTCCCCGCGCCTCACCCTTCCCGTCTCCACTCGGGCCTCCTGGGATCCCCGGCAAGGTCGGGGCAGTCTGGAAGGGCCCCCAAATCTGCTACCGCCTCAGACCCCCCCGCTGCACGCTGGCCACACCGGCGGACTCACTGCCGGGCCGGAGCCCGGGCCTCCTCTGAAGCCTCCAGGGGGCCCCAGGACCCAAGGGGCGGCCTCCCCGGCCCCAGCCACCCGCCACTGTCCACACGGCGCCTCTTGGCTGCCCTCGGCTGCCGCGGCTGCTGCCCGCACCCACGGTGGCTCTCTGCTGCCTCCTGGCCCTGCCCGGTCCCAGACGCAGGCCGGAGTCGCCCCGCTCTGCCGCGCCGGGCCCCCCGGCACCGCCCCGCACACTCCCTCCTGCTGAGCCCTCCCCCCCAGCCAGGTCCAGCCCTGGGCCCGCTGGCCCCGGCGCCCACTCCTCAGCTAGGCCCGGTATCTCCCCTTCCCCGCACGGAGGGCGTCGGGGTGCCCTGGGGCGTGGGGGTGCATTTGCGGGGCCGCCAGGGGGACGCTGCTCGTGCCGTGCTGGCGTGGGGGTTCGGGAGCGGGTGCAGACGGCACGGCCCTGGGCAGCAGCACCCCCAGCCTGCCGGAGGCACAGGGCCACGCGAGGCGCAGGGGCAGGCCTTGGACTCCAGCCTGCGCCCCGGGGTGGGCCGGGCAGAGAAGGGGCCTCTGTGCCCAGGCCGAGGCCCACGGATTCACGGCCCCAGTGTACTGCCCGCCTGCCCCACAGCGCTGGACACTGGGGTCTACGCGCTGCCCCACCGAGGCACCGAGCGCCACAGAAAGCCCAGGGCAGGGCCGCCCCTGGCTGCCAGGCCCAACCCCAGTGGCCAGCTGAGGGCCCTGGGCCCCCACTCTGCTGGCCACTTTCCTGGGTGGACCAGACAGCTGGGCGCCGGGCTCACAGTGGGGTGGGGAGCTGGCCGGTGCGGCCCGCCCCTGGGCACCTGCAGCTGTCAGCCGGCCTGGCCTGGTGCAAGGAGGGCGTCTCGGCGGGCTCCCGGGCCTGTGTCCACTCCCGGCTATTCCCAGGTCGCTGTCCCCTTGCTGGCCTGGCCTGCCTGACGCACACCTGTCAGCCACTGTCCACCTGCGGCGGGGGCAGGGAGGCCGCC